GTGTGACAGGGTACTATATCGTGATAGCCGGTCAGCTCATGTATCTGAATGCTGCTTAGACTGCCCTGTTGTTTCTTTGATATCTCAGTAAGTTTTCTTGGTAAGGTTTTCTGATGTGTACAGGGAATAAAGATATACCTGCTAGAAGATAAATTTGCGTTGATTAACTAAGACTCATCCTTTGCCTAGACAATGTCTGCATTTACCCGAGCATTAGCTAGTTTGTCCACTTGCATCATAGGGAAATAATATCACTTTAGGGAAAAGTACATGCCCGGCCGCGTGCGTCCACATACACATGTCTATAACTTGCTATCTATTGTATAGGTATGATGCTTGCATGGATGTAACCGACAGTGATCACAAGCCTGTTCGTTGCATATTCAGTGTTGATATTGCTCGAGTTGATGAGTCTGTGAGGAGACAAGAGTTTGGAGACATTATGAAATCAAGTGTGGAAATTAGATGCATAATTGATAAACTAAGAAAGATTCCAGAAACTATTGTCAGCACAAACAACATAATCCTTCAAAACCAGGATACAACAATTTTGCGCATCACAAATAAATGTGGGCAAAATGATGCCTTGTTCGAAATTATTTGTGAAGGCCAGTCTATAATTGATGAGAATGGACAAGCATCAGATCATCATCCAAGAGGTTCCTATGGCTTTCCGCAATGGCTTGAGGTAAGTTCCCTGCTTCACAGAAAAATATACTCTAATAACTTTAATTGTTCCTTTTACCCGTTATTTGGGCCATTTTGCTGGATACCAGATCATATTGATCTTGATCTTTCAAAAAAAATAAGGGAGACCGTAAAAATGTCCACCTCGTTTATAAACAACAGAGCCTTGACCCCAAACTAATTGGGATCGGCTGGATGGATTCTGCTGTACCATTCCGTGCTATCATAAACCAAACCTGCCTATGAGGCTCAAAGGAGGAGCTTGTCCTCCTCAACATTGAATTTGAGTCTAATTTGTTTATAATGGATTGGTTATTGATCAGTGCCAGTGAAAATAAGGGGCGGTGCGGTAAAGATAAATCCAATTGCTTGCACACACAGCACTAATGACCATTCGATTTCACTTGATAAGCACGCCCTTATACCTATTATAGGTGATCAAGAGAACCGCTTTGAGCATTTCAAAATTTGTGCAATTTGAATCAGGTCACTCCAGCAGCTGGTATAATTAAACCAGGCCATATTGCCGAGGTGTCAATTCATCTTGAAGATTTCCCCACTTTGGAAGTCTTTCTTGATGGTGTCCCTCAAAATTCATGGTGTGAAGACACCAGAGACAAGGAAGCTATATTGGTGGTGAAAGTTCGTGGAACTTGCAACACAAATGAGACAAGAAACCACCGGATACGTGTGCGCCACTGCTGTTCATCGCAAACAGCACAACTTGACCCAAGACCTAATGGCTCGGAGCAAGTCCAAGGAAATCTTCTTCACCGGGCTGATTACCAACATCTTAGCAGTTCCTATGATGTGGTCAGCCACCTGCGTAACTTGCGGAGTCCATAAATGGAAATCATTTGCAGTTGTTGAATGGCAAAGCACCGACGAGTTGTTCTCCCTTCTCCATTTTTTACAATCTTCTTCGTGTAAATAACATAAGCCTTCTTGCTTTCATTGCTTTTACAAGTTGAGTGCTTGTAAATAGTTTTTTCTTTCAGTTTGATCCAATGCTAATTTTTTGTCTCTTCAGTTTTTGAGGCGAGTCTGAATATTTGCGTTGTTCTTCTTTTTAATTTAGTTCTCAATTGAAAAAGATCAATATGAGGCATCGTTCTTGAATAAATGATGCGTGGATCAATTTCAATGGGCCTGTAGTTTTACTTGCAAATCTAAAAGCGCTGGAGCTCCATATAATAATAAAATACCCATCTTGCTATTGGATTGATCTTCACATTCAGGGAGAACCATCTCTTCTGAAAAAGATACAGAAAATAAGTTTTATTTATTTATTTTTTCCCCAGATAATGCCACGGCAAACCACACACATATATGCAAGCATATTTGATGAGATCATCCAATTCATTCTTGTCTACAACCCCATCATGGTAGGCATCGGCATGGTGGAGCCCACAGGAGGTTCTAAAGGCAGGGATCTCTGCACCCAGACGACTGAAGGCTTACTTTAGCTCTTTCTTGCTGAGAAGACCGTCCTTGTTGATATCGGACACCATGAAAATTGTCCTCAACTGCTCTTTAGTTGGCTGAGAAACAGGTAGTTTAGGCTCGCGTGATTTGCATTTCTTGACTTCAAACCCCATGGTCCCGATGGAATAATAAGAGATTAACTTAATTTGAACGTACAAGATGTTTTCACGCTACGATTTTTGCAAGTTAATTTGAAAGAAAGGCTTTCACACACGCACACACACGCACACACGTACGTCTCGAGTAATCAATCAATCAATTCAATAGTACAGTCCATGCACACCGACTTATCTCCATGCAATATTCCATATAAAAAAATGCTCTACTTTACACAAATAATTAATGCGTGCAACTTTACAGATATGTTCTGATCTTTGATCCTGTTATTCTGGACCACATATACGCTTCTATATATTTCCCTATTCCTGTTCATGTCTCAACCTATGGGAGAGATGCAAGCTTAAGATTAGTTAATTAGAGGAAATAAGTGAAGATGAGTCCGAAGCTTTGAACTCAGCTAATGAGGAAGCAAAAGTTATTGAAAGCAGAGGTTCCGGCGTAAAAAAATTGTAGTGAGTTTCAAAATAAAAAAAATCAAATAAAAACCATAGAGATCATACATAATTCTTAGAGATATAAAAAACATACAATATAAGAAATAAGTCTTAAAGAAGTTAAGGTTATTGAAAGCAAAGGTCCATCACCTCAGGCCTGCCACCAGAAATAGCAGTTTTAATGTGAGAAATGGAGAGGGAGAGGAGAGGAGAGGAGAGAGATATTAGCATACCTGATAGTGGCACCAATGATGAAAATACCAGGCCGCTGATCTGAACCATCCAACTCTACAAGCAACTGCCATTACAAGCATTACATTCAATCCATACAAACAGGAAACGAGTTGATATATATCGAGTAGAGAAAAACGCATGTTTCATTCAGGAAATGTTATTGCAGGTTGTTGACCTAGTTTAAAAGCCGCTCGACAACCCACCCCCTTCTTTTCCACGAGTTGTCGTAAAAGCATCCACCTACATAAAACAAAATGAATTAATTGGTGATGCGTGTAAACTGGTCCAAACATCCATATTAATTTAAAAAAAAAAAAATCAATTGCAAAGTACAACAAACTTAATGGATCTCAGATTACCCAGAAGAACACGATGTTCAGAAAGCCTCATCAGCGAGAAAACCCATTATGAGTACTTTAGAGGTCATTAAATTTTAATCTCACAAATTAAAGTCAAATAGATCAATTAAAGAGGAAAGAATAATACAAACATGGGGTACTTTGGAATTTCCAATGAACACAAAATTCTGAGTTCAGTACTAGAGTAAGGAAAATGCCAAATATTTCAATCTTCTATCTTTCCAATATAGATATCCATCATATCAAATTAAATAACAACTGATGAATTTAACAAAGATAGCAGAGCCACAAACCTAATCAAAGAAGATTTTGCATGGCAAGCATGCTCTTGCACGACAGAACAATGTCCGAACTGTCAGGTTGGTTGTCATTTTTATGTAAGGCACCAACCATTCACCATTAATTATTGGTAGCCATCATTATTGAATGAGTTAGAGTTGGTGGCCACCAATATTGACAACAAACCAAGAATAGCCTCTATAAATACCTATAAATAGAAGCATATGTTAGAGAGTAAATTAGGAAGAGTTTTGTGAGAATGTGAAGAGAGTAGAAAGAGCTGCAATGGCAACAGCCTTATAGCCATTGCAGCAACTGCAAATGCAGCAAAGAGAGGGCTATGAGTAGAGTAGAGTGAAGTTATCATTCTCCTCCATGTATTTGTTTTTATATTCTTTCTCTAATCTTTAATAATATAGACTCTCTCCCGTGGATGTAGGCTATTTGCCGAACCACATTAAATATTGTGTCAGTGTACTTGGCCTCTTATGAGCAAGTATCAGAACATCACCGGTCGGAATTCCCAACACGAACTGCCAGTTCACTTTCTCCAACATGCTTATTCAGAAGTTCAAGATCCTAACAAATTATATGGCATTGGTCATCATTAATGCTTTCATTGCTTTTACAAGTTGAGCGCTTGTAAATAATTTTTTCTTTCAGTTTGATTCATTGCCAATTTTTGTATGTCTTCGGTTTTTACTTTTTAGGCGAGTCTGAATACTGAATATAAATTACAATTTCTAGGAACTGATTTGTCAATTACAAATATACAGAAAATTAATTTTTCAATTTATTCATTTTTTTCCTAAGATATATGGTTTGTTTGGCTCAACAGCAATGGTAGGCAATTAGGCATTATCCCTCCTCATTTAATTTGGTTATGATTTATGAAAAGCTGTAAATTTCTTATAACTTTCTTAGTTTAGATGTGGAAACATCTTTGAATGGATTGGAAGAATGGAGTAAAAAACTAGTTTAAAAATACAATTGGTTGTAATTAGAAAAAAAGAGGGTCGAAGAACACTTTGATTGCTTTTAATTCATCTAGCATGTTTTGAATATTTGAGAGAAATAATCACTTCATTAACAAGAACACTTATTCTTTTAAGTCAAATATCCGTGTACATTTCATAATTTTATGTAAGCATAGAGATATTTCAGCTGTTGAATTGCATGGAGAGGAAACGAATAGATGAATATTTGCATTTTTTTTCTTCTTAACTTAGTTCTCAATTGAAAAGGATCAATATGACGCATCGTTCTTGAATAAATGATGCGTGGATCAAGTCAATGGGCCTGCAGTTTACTTCCTGCAAAGGTAAGAGTGCCGGAGCTCCAGGTTCAAAATATATAATAATAAAATACCCATCCTGCTATTGGATTGATCTTCAATCACATAGAGGGAGAACCATCTCTTCTAAAAAAGACACAGAGAATAAGTTTTTATTTCCCCAATTGATGCCCCGGCAAACCACACACACATATGGAATTGCATGCACAGGGGCACAACCTTGCTTAATTACATTTTAAAGCTCTAAGTAACCTTGTACCCAAGACGATAAGCATATTTGATGAGATCATCCAACTCATCCATGTCTACAACCCCATCGTGGTTGGCATCGGCATGGTGGAGCCCACGGGCGGCTCTAAAGGCAGGGATAAGTGCACCTAGACGACGGAAGGCTCGCTTTAGCTCTTTCTTGCTGAGAACACCGTCCTTATTGATATCGCACTCCATGAAAATTGCCCTCAACTGCTTTTCAGTGCTTGTCGGAGGAACATGTGATTCAGGGCCTCCAGGCTGAAAAACAGGTGTCTCACAAGTCACGATTCCTTTACGTTTGTCGACAATAACAAACCCCATGGCCCCGATGGAATAATAAGAAATTAGCTTAATTTGAACGTAAGAGATGTTTTCACGCTACGATTTTTGCACGTTTGAATGCAAGGCTTCTATATTTATATGGCTGGAGTACTCAATCAATCAATCAATTCAATAGTACAGTCCATGCACACCGACTTATCTTTATGCAATATTCCATATAAAAAAATGCTCTACTTTACACAAAAAAATAAAATGCGTGCAGCTTAACGGATATGTTCTAATCTTGCTTATCCTTGATCCTTTTATTTTGGACCACACATGCACTTCTATATATTTCCCTATTCCTGTTCATGTCTAAACCTACGGGAGAGGTGCAAGCCTAAGACCTACAATTAGTTAATTAGAGGAAATAAGTTAAGACGAGTCCGAAACTTTGAACTCAGCTAATGAGTAAGTTAAGGTTATTGGAAGCAAACCTTAAGGGTGTAGCTTTTAATGGATAAGTTTTGAGTTTGTTATTTAGAGATTATTGGTTTGAGTTTTATAAATTTTAGAGCCATTAAAAGTTTATATGATTATTAATTTCAAGGTATATGAAATTATTTTAGTTTATATGATTATTAATTTCAAGGTATGTGAAATTATTTTAGGCACATCTAAGTTAACTTGAACATCTATATTAATTAAAAAAATATTATTGAGAACAAAGATCCCAACGTAAAAGAATTATAATGAGTTTCAAAACAAAAAAAAATCAAATAAAAACCATAGAGATCATACATAATTCATAAAGATATAAAAAGCATACTTTATAAGAAATAAATCCTAATACTTTATAAGAAATAAATCTTAAAGAATTTCAAAATTATATTATATTAAAGGAGATCAGTGTTTCATTGTACACTAAGACATATACCATCATGGATTGGAACAGTATAATGATGCAATTGTCATCACCAAAGAAACTTATTAGGCATACATTTGGAGGTGGGATTTTTTTTTTTTTTTTTTCTTTTCATGAGATAAATTTGATATTGAAAGGATGATTGCGAATAAAATTACCTGTTTGAGTTTTTTTTGCTACAGTATAGATATTGACAAAATTTTAACTTTTAAGTTGGGGTTTTTTTTGTCTTTTCAAGAAAAATAAATAGTGAAAATATATCCATACCTTAGAAAAAAGAGAAAATATAAGTTTGTGTTGTGAGACATCACCGTCTTTTTATTTTATTGAAATAGTTCAAATATGAAACTATCATTGGGTTTCAACAAAAATAAGATTGCATGTAAGATTATTTTTGTTATTTTCGTATGGTTGTCATACCCAAGTGCCTTAGATCAATAACAGGTGTCAAGACATGGCATGACTGCCAGATCTCAAACACTAGGAATGACATGGCTGCTAGACATATGACACTAGGGTTAGGCTTGTCTATGAGATCCTAGACGCTCAGGTCTAGCAAAGCAGTCACCCTAAAGACTCGGGTCAGGCATAACAGCCAGACCCTGACACTTTAGATGTGGAAAGACTGACAAACTTAGGTATCATGGGTATGGCAGGGTATCAGACCCATCTTAATGAGGTATGACAGGGGATGCCATACCAAAAAAGTTTATTCTAGCACCAACAAACCCAAGTTACTTGGGTTTGGAAGGAGATGTCATACCTATGGAGTGAGTCTTATTATTATTATTATTAAGTTTGAAAAAAATGTTATTACTATTGAAGAAAAACTATAGATTTGATTTAAAAGATAAAATTAAAAACTATAAGAACTTGGGTTAGACATGTTTAATATTATTATTAATAAATTTTTTAAAAAATTATTACTATTGAAAAAAATCAAAGATTTGATTTGAAGGGTAAAATTAAAAATTATTGTTGTTATTGTTGTTCTTTTCATTGTTGTTAATATTATTTATATAATTATTAATAAATTTGAAAAAAATTATTACTATTAAAAAAAATAATAAAGTCACACCTGAGTTTGACATGACCACACTCTAGAAATTAAAGGGGTGCCATACCCAAATTACTTGAGTCTGAAAAAGGATACTATATCCAAGATATTTGGATTTGACACCTACATACCGAAATAACTTGGGTTTAATAAAGACATCGATCTAAATTGGATCTAGAAAATGATTCTAAACTCAAGGAATTTGGGTGTTTGAAAAAGGATGCTATATTCAAGAATTGTGTCTTATTATTCTTATTCTTATTATTTTTTTTTATTTATATTTTTCTTTTCTTTTTTTTTTTTATTATTATTTTTAAATTTGGGTCTGTCACGACCACATCCTAAAAATTTGGATATAATATTTTATTTAAATTCGAGATTTTTAGATTTAATATGGCTTTTAAATTTAAAAAGTTTAAAATATTTTTTATATTTTTTTAAGAATCTATATTAACGAGGCAATATAATAATTTTATAACTAAAAAGTTAACATTCTCAAAGTTGGTGGAGCACCCTTGATAACTACGCGGAATTTTCGACTGAATTTTCTCTCTCTTTTCATGAACTTACATTTGCCACCGAATCTTGCAAGTGCTGCGGTCACAAGTCAAGATCTAAAGATCAGTTCTCTTTCTGCCCATCGACCGCGCTGCCACCAAACGTTCACCCTAGCCGCTTAACGTCGTCACCGCCACTTCCTCCACGAATATTTTGATAGTTTCTTCATTTCCCTCTATCCCGCCTTCAATTGTTAGTGAAAATTGATGTATATCTAAGTCTCTACGGAAAGAGATCAACTGACACTGTTCTTGAATAAATGATGCATAACCAATGGGGCTGTGGTGTTATTCCTGCAAAAACAAAAGGGCTGCGCCCAGGTTCAAGTTAAATATTCTAATCGAAGAAAGAAGAGGAAGACCCCTTTCTTCTTTTCAAAAACAACAGAAAAGAAGATTTCTTCTTCTTCTTTTTACTTTTGATAATCCCATTTTATATTTTTATGGATAGAGAAAAATAATCTTATTCCATATCTTGATTTAATAACAAGTAAAATTATGTAGAATTATTTTTCATGCTATAAAACAATCACAGTTAGCTTACAAAAACTATATAGAACAACGTTTGTCATTGACACATCTCTTAGGGAAGTTTGATTGCTTACACAGATATGCTGGTGACGATTGGGTGATCCGAAAAATCCTTTTGTCCAGTGAGGAGCTTGACAAGTTCCGAGGAGGGCATACTAAATTAGTTAAACCACATACCCATGTATGCTGAGAACGTCCTAGAGAGGGTTATGATAAATTGAATGTGGATGGCAGCTGCCTTGGAAATCCTGGTAACGTTAATGGCTCTTGGTTGGTGGGGTTTTCGGGCTTCTCCGGTGTTGGTTCAAATCTCTCAGGGGAGCTGCAGGCTATTAAACATGGATTGCAACCCGCTTGGGATAGAGGCTACAGAAACATATACTCTGTAACTCTGTAGCTTTAAGCGTGTTAGCGCGGTGTCTCAATTGTTGGCGTCGCTCTTGATGCTAAAGGATCATCCTTGTGGGGTTACAAAGCCGAAGGCAACAATTGTCCTGCTGGAGCTACGGTATCCTATACAATGTTGCTTAATTTAATATCCAGTGTAGCGACTTAGGATCTGCTCCATCTTAAGCCGGATTTGACAACTATGGTGATAGCTGCTCGTGATAGTCCAAACACAGATGAAATCCATATAAAAAAGTATACATGTTTAATGATGGTGAATTCTTCGATTAAGACGGGGGATGATTGTATCTCAATTGGATCTCAGACTAAGAACTTGTGGATCGAAGAGGTTATATATGATATTAGACATGGTATTATTAGGTGAGAAATAATGTAATTAGAGCCTGCAATCCATTCGATTAATTTTCTTATATACATATTATATATCAAGATAATTAACATTAGGGACAATAATTGTGGGTACGTTGTGTTTTAGTATTGGAAGCTCAGGGAAGGGAGCTGGAAGAGCCAAGAGTGCAGAATGTGACAATTATCAGGACAATTTCTGCCGATACTCGAAATGAACCAGGAAACTGGATTGGACAAGTCCAAACGCCATGGATCCCAAAAGATAAGGAAATAAGAAAAGATGTACATCCCATTCCGAATCATCACAGGCCATAGGGTCCTCTTAGCACCACTAGTTGGTCCAAATTTCGGGCGGACCGTCCATCTCCAGTGATCAACCCACACAAATACTAACTAGCAACATGCTTATTAATAATTAATTTCTTCTTTTTGCAAGCGTGGAAAAGATTTGTATAATAAAACACTTTACTTGTTTATTGCAAGAATTCGAGACCTTGATTTTCAAAATTCTTAAATCCATCCTCTTGTCCGTGGCCAGCTATGCTTCCACATAATAGCTTTGTTAAGTTGTCAATTATTTGATTTCCAGACTATGTGGATTCACAACACAACATCTTGATTTGTTGAAATATTAAGAATATGTTTTTTTTCCTATGATATTCAGGTTGTGGGTTCAATGAACTACTTTTTTGGAATAAAAATATATCAATGAAGTTCGGGTATCTTTATTTCACAAAAAAAATATATGATTGATATTTTTAATAAAATTCAAGCTATAATCATATAAAAAAGTAGCAATTTCAGTTGCACAAGATTAGAAAATTTTCAAAAAAAATGATGAGAAACTTGAGGAACTCTCTGCATATAAAAGCTTAGTAGGTAACCTATCATACTTGACATCAATCAGACCTGACTTGATGTTTCTAGCTGATTTGCTTTCAAGATTCATGAGTTCTCTTAGTAATGTTCATAAAAGAATTGCTAACAAGGAACTGAAATATATCAGAGGTATAATAAATCTTTGCATCTGGTATTTAAAGATAAAGAGTTAAACTAGATGGCTATGTTGACAGTAATTGAACATGTAGTGTTGTTGATATGAACAACATTTTAAGTTATGTATTTACAATTGGTTCAGACACTATTTATGAGAATGCAAAAAAACAAAAACTTATGACACGATTTACTATAGATACTGAGTATACCTTACTAGCTGCTGCTACAAATCAAGCAATATGATTAAATAAATTGTTTGTTGATCTAGGCTAATAACAAAGCTCATCAACTGGGCTTTACCGTGATAACAAATCAGTTATTGCCATTGCTCAAAATCTTGTTTAACATGACAGGACCAAGCACATCAATACAAAATTTCACTTCATAAGAGAAGCTGAAAAGAATTCACTTGTCAAGTTGCATTACTGTTGACCTGTCGCACAACTTCTTGATATAATGAGTAAGGCACTTCCTAATTCAATGTTGGAATTTATAAGGATGAAACTTGGTTTGTTTAAAAAACTGATTTAAAAACCAAATTCAATCAAAAACTAAAAATAAATCTAAAATCAGATTTATTTTTTCACAAACTTTTAAGGTACAAAAATATCTAATATCATCTACTTACATCTAATGGAATAATTTGATACAAAAATCATGTTTTTGATGACCTAAATTAGTATCAATGACAAGTTTTTATCTCTATCACTCAAATCCAGTAACCTCTCTCCCTTCTCTTTCTCAAGCAAGAAAAAAAACAAAAATAAATCTCTCCATTAAAATAGAATTGGAGTAATTTAAGGGATCATAATTATATAATTTAAATGATTATTTAAATTGAAAGATAAAAATAAATGTTTTTTAAATTTAAAGTACGTTACTTATATTTACCTACCTATATTTATCGTGTTTTTTATTTGAATCCTTTTTTTTTATTAATTTCATCTTTAATTTAAAATCAGTTGCTTCTTGATGCTCTGAAAACAAAGTTTGATGATTAACTGAATTTGTTTTTTCCACCGTTACAAATATACTGTGAAAATCCCGCATGTTTTAATATATAAATAATGAATGATGCGTGGATCAATGTCAATGGGCAATGGGCCTGTAGTTCTCCAAAGGTAAAAGGGCTGGAGCTCCATATAATAATAAAATACCCATCCTGCTATTGGATTGATCTTTAATCACATACAGGAGAACCATCTCTTCTAAAAAAGACACAGAAAATAAGTTTTATTTATTTATTTTTTCCCCAATTGATGCCACGGCAAAGCACACACATATATGCAATCGCATGCACAGTGGCACAACCTTGCTTAATTACATTTTAAAGCTCTAAGTAACCTTGTACCCAAGACGATAAGCATATTTGATGAGATCATCCAACTCCTCCTTGTCTACAACCCCATCGTGGTTGGCATCGGCATGGTGGAGCCCACGGGCGGCTCTAAAGGCTGGGATAACCGCACCCAGACGACGGAAGGCTTGCTTTAGCTCTTTCTTGCTGAGAACACCGTCCTTATTGATATCGGACTCCATGAAAATTGCCCTCAACTGCTCTTCAGTTAGCTGAGAAACAGGTAGTTTAGGCTCGCGTGGTTTATATTTCTTGACTTCAAACCCCATGGTCCTGATGGAATAATAAGAGATTAGCTTAGTTTGAATGTAAGAGATGTTTTCACGCTACGATTTTTGCAAGTTAATCTGAAAGCAAGGCTTATATATATATATATATATCTCGAGTAATCAATCACTCAATTCAATAGCATAGCACAGTCCATGCACACCGACTTATCTCCATGCAATATTCCATTTAAAAAAATGCTCTGCTTTAGACAAATAATTATTGCGTGAAGCTTTATAGAAATGTTCTGATCTTGCTTGTCTTTGATCCTTCTATTTTGGACCACATATACACTTCTATATATTTCCCTATTCCTGTTCATGTCTAAGTCTATGAGAGAGATGCAAGCTTAAGACCTACAATTAGTTAATTGGAGCAAATAAGTGAAGACGAGTCCGAAACTTTGAACTCAGCTAATGAGGACGCGGTGGAAATATATATACATATCATTTGCTAATTAATCCGAATTTGATCATATCTATCCTTAAAACCTCTTCAAGTTACAACATCAACGAATTAAACCCTTCAAGTACTTCCATAAGTTCTCATTACTATTAACACAATCATTACTATTAACACAATCGTTACAATTAATCAATCATCTCCCTCTTTTTGTGTCCCGAGAGCAAAGAACATGGCTAAGTTGTGTCTTCATTCTCTGCTGTTTGACCTTTTCTTGATCCTCGTAAGTTCACATATTAAAATACCACCGAAACAAGTTATAATGTGCTAAATAATGGTGCCAAACCAAACGGCTAACGGACTACACACAAGGCTTCCTTGATGCTTGTACTGCTGCATGTGGCTCTACAATTCAACAATGATTTGCATACCTAAAGAAAGGTATTTGCTTGGCTCTGTGTCCTTTGAAGGTCATAACTACACAAGTCCTGATATTACTTTAAGGATTGATGGCACCAGATTGCTCATGAGGATTGTCGCATAGTTGGTCAAGCCAATGATTGGCTTAATTAGCTCTTGATGCTAAAGGATCATCCATGTGGCGTTGCAAAGCCAAATGCAACAATTGTCCTGCTGGAGCTACGGCATTCTATTTGCTTAATCTAGTATATATCCAGTCTAAGTAAGCACTTGTAACTCGGGATTCGATTCCTTCACCGGTTTAATTTCAAGCTGGATTTGATAACTACGGTGATAGCTGCTGCCCATACTCCAAATATAGATGGAATCCATATCCAAAAATCTACATGTTTTGTGTTTGTGAATTCTTTGATTAAGTGTGGATCAAAGGGGTTATATGTGGTGTTAGATATGGTATTATTAGGTGGGAAATAATGTTATTAGATCTGCAATCCATTCTATTAATTTTAATAATGTAATTAGATCTGCAATCCATTCTATTAATTTTCTATAATTAACATTAGGGACAACAATTGAAGGATGTGACAGTTATCAGGACAATTTTTGTCAACACTCGAAATGGACTAGGAAATTGGGTTAGACAAGTCCAAACACCGTAAAGCCTAGAAAATGAATTGTTTTTTTAAAAAAGATGTACATCCTCTCCCGAATCAGCAGTTGATCCAAATATAACCCACATAAATATTCATTAGCAGCATGCTCATTAATAATTAACTTCTTTTTGCAAGCGTGGACAAGATTTGTCTGATGAAACATGCTTCCACATAATAGCTTTGTTACATTGTAAATTATTTGATTTACAGACAATCTGTTTTCGCAACATCTTGATTTATTGAAATGTTAAGAATCTGTTTTTTTTTTTTTCTCCCTTATATATATATTCAGCCCGGGGGTTCAATTGATGGAGATGTTGAGAGAAGAAGATTAGTTTGCTTGAATTTCACAAAGGGTACTATGAACTGGATTTGTTATATTTTCATGAAATATCACATTGGGAGACATGATTCACCGACTGCATTTCACGAAGTTAATTCATGTTTCCTCAGACTATCAGATGAGGTTGTGAGAAGATTTAGACAGAAAATAAGGAATTAATTTTTTGTTTAGGTGCTTTTGAACATCTCGTGGCTGTAGTTTAGTGGTAAGAATTCCACGTTGTGGCCGTGGAGACCTGGGCTCGAATCCCAGCAGCCACATCCAGTTCAAAATCGAGTTTTTCTATTGTTAATTTGGACCGTGTGAATTATATTTTTTGTAATTAATGGTGTAATGAAAAATAATTTTTTAAAATTTATTGAAATAATAAAAAAATTGAAGGGGGTAAAATTTAAAAAATATTAATTTATAATTTATTTTAAATAAAATAAAGGTTGAAAGATGATAAATTTAAATAAATTATAATTTTATAAATTATTTTAAATAAAATAAATAATAATTAAAAAAATAAAGATCAAATCTGGTAAATTAAATAAATTTAATAAATAAAAAAATTATAATAAAAGTACAAAAACTAAAATTGATATAAACATTAAATTTTAAAAGATAAAATAAAAAAAATAAAAAATATAACAATAAAAAGATTCAGAACCAGATTCAATATAATCAATAAATAATAAGATAATTTTTAATTTTTTAAAAACCTTTGAAAAATTTTCAATCTAAAATAAAAAGAAAATAATTTTTTAAAAATCAAGCTAATTTTTTTTATTGAAAAATAGTTTTCATTAATTATTCTTGCTAATGACAAATAAGAAATAATTGAGAAGAATCCAGCAATATGATATTCTTCTCTCACGTCATGTGAGTCTTCTTGGTACGCTTATATTCTTACTTGCTTAACACATAATTAACTATAATAATCTTGATATTCATACCGCCATTTAATGAATATATTATTATTTTTTAGTAAATATACATTTATATACTTATTTATGATATTATCGATAAATAAACAATTCAATTGATAAAAAAATAATTTAATACATTTAATTCTGAAAATTGAAAAATAAAGAGGCAGACCGCCAACCATTAACAAGGAAAAAAATAGATAAAGAAAAACATGAAAGGAAAGAGAAAAGGATTTGTAGTTTGTTTATAAAATCAATTGACCCGCCACAAACAACAGAGGTGTAGTCAACGCCACCTCTCCAATACCAGAACGTAGAGGACCAAGTAATAAAAATTCTTGGCAAACCAAGGCTTGGCCTAGCGGTGGAAGGGGCTTGTCTCCTTCCACTGCACCTGGGTTCGAGCCTTGGCGTGCACGCCTGTCACCCCCGCGGTGCCTTACATGCCTACTGGGTTTGCAGGGTATTCAGTGGGCTGTGGAGATTAGTCGTGGTGCGCGCAAGCTGGCCCGGACACCCCACGTAAAATAAAAAAAAAAGTAATAAAAATTCTTGTGGACTAATTGTTATTTAATAATCAATATCATAACCACGTCATAAAATAAAATAAAATAAAATAATTAATTTTATTATAAAAATATCAAGTTCCTGTCCTAATCAGAAAATGTTGGTTGATGGTGGCACATAAATTGTATAGTTAAAATACTGCTGTTTCTTTTTCAGTAAAAACGGCGTTTTATGATTTCTTGAGATTTTATTTTTTATTTGAAATTAATTTTTTATATTAATATAAAAATAATTTAGAAAACAAAAAAAAATTATTTTCATATATTCTCGTTACTTTAATTATAAAATATTTTTTTAAGATCTTGATTAAAAATAAACTATAATTTATTACTCTTATTGAACCTTTTTTAAATCATAATTGTAAAAGCCTGTTATAATATTATAATACTATTATTATTATTATTTAAAATATTTTTTATTTTAACATACATCAAATTAGTATTTTTTTTAATACATAATATCAAAACAATAAAAAAAAATAAAGCAATTAAATGCCATCGGGTTATCATCGGCGTGAACATGAAAAGGGTGGCCCAAGAGTCAACCTGTGCTCAGTGGGAACCCAGCAAAGAAAATTGTTGTGAGATTAATGAATGTGAAAATGAAACGAATGGCTTAACTGAAGGAGAAAGACTCAGTGAACACAAAAATTGCCTGATCAGAGGGAGTTCACAGCTTCACATTAACACATGCCATTGTTTTTGCGTGACTTAGAGGAGAGATCATGACCAACCCGTCATGCGAGCAAGCAATCAACAAAAGAAACTATGGTTTTGTTATGTTATGTATATATGATGTTCTCTTTCCAAGTCAAACAGTCAATTCATTACTAGTAGTGTAATCAGACCACACAGTTTCCACAGACCACATTTTTTTTTCTTTTCTTTTCCTTTTTTTTCCCTTTAATTCTTACACAAATGTTCTTGTGTCATGGGGTTGCTGAGAAAAGTCGGAAAGCAAGAGAAGACTTGCGCACAAGAGAAAGTCTTCCATGAAAGAAAAACACGGTGTTTCCTGCCACTTTCTTTTGTTCAAATCAACTCAATCCTACCCCTTCTCTACGTTTTAAGTGCAATAATAGTGCCTCTTCTCTTCATTTATATTCTCATTTTTCTTGCATTTCTGTCGCAGTATGGTGACTACTTCTATGCTTCACACTTCCATTTCGTCGTCGTCGTCATCTGGGTATGTCTCAAATCTTGTTTTCCTTCAGTGCGTCGCTGGGATAAATGAATTTGGGGTTTTAGTTGGTTTGTTTAAGTCTTGAGGTTGTTTATTTATTGACTTGTTGTTTTTTAAAGTTCCATATTGTTCTGGTAGATTACGAGTTGAACTGGATTTTTTTTTTGTTTGGTTTAAGAATTTGACTTTCTTTCTTGGGTTTATGCAGATAAGGTTTAACTCTTGTGGATTGAGTGTTTTCTTTAGTGGTCCAATTTAGTGAAAACCCTTCTCTTTGTAGATTTTCTTAATGGATTTTAGATAGAAAGTTTGAGGATTTGTTCTTGTTGTTCTTTTCCTTGCTAATGGCATTGAGTGAGAAAAATCCTATGGTTGCTGCCCATATTTTGGTTTGGATGGTTTCAGTGTTGCTGAGCAGTAGAGTAAGTTTGATTGATGCTACTGCTACTGATATAGAGTGCTTGAAATCCATCAAAGACTCTCTTGTCGACCCTTACAACTACTTGAACACTACATGGGATTTCAACAACAATACTGAAGGCTTCTTATGTAGATTTATGGGTGTTGAATGCTGGCACCCAGATGAGAACAGGGTTCTAAACATCCGCCTTTCAGACTTGAGTCTTAAAGGCCAGTTCCCCCTCGGCATCCAGAAGTGCACAAGCTTGACTGGCTTGGATCTTTCGCGCAACAAGCTATTCGGCTCTATCCCTGCTAATATATCAAAGTTACTTCCGTATGTTACAACCCTTGATCTCTCATTCAACAATTTTTCAGGTGGAATTCCACTTGATCTTGCAAATTGTAGTTTCTTGAATGATCTCAAACTTGACAACAACCGGCTAACAGGCAACATTCCACTGGAATTTGGCCTGCTTGATCGGATCAAGATATTTAGTGTTACCAACAATCTTCTATCAGGGCCGATCCCCACATTTATCCATAGTAACATCCCTGTTGATAGCTTTGCAAATAATCTGGACCTCTGTGGAAAGCCATTGAAACTCTGTCCAGGAGTCCAGGGGAAATCCCATGTTGGGGTAATTGCTGCAGCAGCCGCAGGTGGGGTAACATTTACATCAATTATCTGTGGTATCTTTCTGTACTATTTGTCTCGGGGAGTAGCTAAGAGGAAGGCAGATGATCCTGAAGGTAACAGATGGGCAAAGAGCATTAAGGGAACCAAAGGCATCAAGGCAAGTTATCTAACTTATCTTGTTAATTGGGTATAATGTAGTTTGGCTGGCATAGGAATTGAATTTCTGTTCTTTTTTCTGGTTATGTTAACTTATCAATGATAGCATTTTTCATTTGAAACAACAAAATATCTAACAGCAAGCTTTCTGTTACCAATAGGTTTCAATGTTTGAGAAGTCGGTTTCAAAAATGAGATTGAGTGATCTCATGAAGGCAACTGACGACTTCAGCAATAACAACATCATTGGAGCAGGAAGAACAGGACCAATGTACAAGGCAGTGTTTTCAGAAGGTTGCTTCCTTATGGTTAAGAGATTGCAAGACTCTCAGCGTTTGGAGAAAGAGTTTGTATCTGAGATGAACACACTGGGGAATGTAAAACACCGTAATTTAGTCCCGCTTCTGGGTTTTTGTGTGGCAAAGAAGGAGAGATTTTTGGTGTATAAATTCGTGGAAAATGGGACCCTTTATGATAAATTGCATCCACTGGAGCCAGAGATCAGAAACATGGATTGGCCCCTAAGGCTCAAAATTGCAATTGGAACAGCTAGAGGTTTGGCATGGCTTCATCATAACTGCAATCCACGAATTATCCACAGGAACATAAGCTCCAAGTGCATACTCTTGGATGGCGATTTTGAGCCGAAGTTATCTGATTTTGGCCTTGCTAGACTCATGAACCCAATCGACACCCATTTGAGCACTTTTGTCAATGGGGAGTTTGGGGACTTGGGTTATGTTGCTCCTGAATATCTACGGACCCTTGTTGCAACACCAAAAGGGGATGTTTATAGCTTTGGTGTAGTTCTCCTGGAGTTAATTACTGGTGAAAAACCCACTCATGTTGCTACTGCCCCTGAAAGCTTCAAGGGAAGTTTAGTGGAGTGGATCAGACAACTGTCAGATGGTCCTCTTCTTCATACTGCCGTTGACAAACCTTTGCCTGGAAATGGTTACGATCATGAACTCAACCAATTTCTTAAAGTTGCTTGCAACTGTGTGGTTGAGAATGCAAAGGAGAGACCAACAATGTTTGAGGTTCATCAGCTCCTCAGGGCTATTGGGGAGAGATATCATTTCACAACTGATGATGATATTATGTTGCCATCTGATACAGGTTACACTGCTTTCCCAGATGAACTAATCGTTGCCACCGAAGTAACAAAGGAAGTTGAATGAAGAACAAAGGTGTTGAGCTTGATAGATAAGAGTTTGAGGCCGTAGATTCGCACCCGCCCAAATATATTCTACGCTATAGCTTTAATTATATAGCATAGTGTGAATTTTGTTTCCATGTTGGGTGTTGAGAGTCGGTAAATGAACTCCCGTACTTAGCCGGGGAGTTTGTAAGCCTTCCGGTTTCCCTTTCTTCTCTCCTTAAAAGTGATGTGACAAAAGCGCAACTACATTGCAACGTTAATTTCAAGAAACCAAGTATCGTTGCCAGGCACGGACCCAAAAATGCAGGATAATTAGATACTTGTCGCCGTGAAGAAGAGTAATATCATCCTCTGCATCTGGATCGACCTTGCAAAGATAATTTACCTTGGCTTTGACTCAAACTGAAATATGAGATTTGAAAACAATGAGATGACAACTGAATTTATAAGCAGTATGATAGCCTGATAATAGGAGATCAGACTGATTAAAGAAAAGCATTTTAACACAAATTCTTGAAATGTTCAAAACAAGGGTGAAAGGGGAAACGAAGACAAAATTGAAAGCAATGTCCTAAACTGCATCGTCACATTTTCTACGGAGCCTCATCTTGGAGGCAAAACTTCAAAACCTCCTTGAAAGTATCTTGTCGGTGGGACAAATTGACCATGTCTAATCCATCCTTCTCTCTCGACATTCCTGTCCCTAGGCGGAAAGATTTAACTTCTTGTTGCATAACTCTGCAGGAAAAATTCTTCATTGTAATAAAACACGGGACCCAACCCGGGCTTCTTCTTAAGCAAACCTTTCGATAAGAGAATTGAATATCAGAGGACCTGGAATCATTCTCTTCTTCAAACTCATCCCATGGACTCTTGGATGACTGGCAATGTTAGAGGACTCCCAACCCATTTCGTTGACCAAAAAAGTTCATAGTAGCCACAATTTTATTTTTCAGGTAAACTCATTAACGAGGGGGTCTGTCTTTAAAAGCTGCAGGAATCTCACTTCTAGTGCACCCCGACCTCTTATACAGTTTCAGCTTCCTTTCCCATGTAGATTGGATCAATATAATCCTAATCAACAGTGCTGTGACAAAACGAGAATTTGAAGGAACAAAACCCTTTTTCTTTTACTTCTGAAGGACCACCCGTCTGTTTTAACGTATCCGGAGTTCAACGACTAATTGGGGCATGAGTACCAAAATAATATTTGATTCAGGCAGTCCATTATCTAGCAAATCCTTGATGTTAGGGTCAGCAGTATCTTGAAGATTCCCGTATAAAAAATGGGACCACGCTTAAGAACAGCGATGGTTGCAAATCTCTAATGAAGTTGTCATCAGGAATTGTATGCTTCTTTAAGCTTCTGATTAACATACGAGGATTCTTATAAACACGGCGGCAAGATCGCACCTTTAGAGTAGAAAAACTGGAAGTTGGGCACAAGATTCGCATCAGGAGTGTACGAAAGTATTCCTGGCCATCTTCTGACGTTTTTTAGTATCTGTGTTTGACAAAACCCACGGGACTTGAACAAATTAAAGACCAAGTCGGGTTTTTAGGGTCGTCACACTGGTGATATTTAGAAGCTGATTTTAAGATTTTAAGATGGTGTGCTCCATCCTTGGTCACTAGAGTTCAAAACTCAAACCAGGTGATGAGAAGTTAACGTCTCTTCAAAACCCCAATCCCAAGAGTGGGAAACCTGTTTTTCACCGAAACACAGAGATGACTCAATAGCACTGCACAAGAGCTAACCTAAATTTGCTAACTGACCCTAAAAAGTGACAGCTATAACTAGTCGGCAGCCATCATGTTTCCAAGGCCTTGTAACTATAATCAATTATCACGCCGCTTGTGATATATAATTACAGAGGCATCTGCATTCATCCTTGATCAGTGCGCGCGTTAACGGCCCCTTTAATCGTCCTTACGAGAGTTTTTGGGTCTATCTGGGGATATAATTGCTATTGTTTTTGAAAAAAGTTTACTAGAGTTTTTGGGTCTATTTGGAAATATAATTGCTATTATTTTTGAAAAATGTTTTTGGTGTTAAAATATATAAAAATAACATTTTTTTATTTTTTAAAAAATTATTTTTAAATTTAACACATTAAAAAAATCAAAAAACATATAAAAAAATTAAAATTTTTAAAAACATAAACACAACCACATTTCCCAACAACTCGTATGAAACACCAATTATATATGAAAGGTTCCCCTCGAAGAGGAAGGGGGTGGGGGGTGGATTACTTCTCTTTGAATTTACAATTGCCTCATGGACATACAGTTTAACGTCCTATAGATAAAAAGTGACATGAAGATGCATAGCATTTTCCAGCTGTTATGGTTTTGTATTTAGCACGCACAACCATGCATTTGCCCTCCGTATACGCCTATTCCCTATATGTCCCTTTTTTTTAGTATATCATCATTTTTCTATCTGTAATTGTTAATCGAATCGTGGCAAGAAAATAAGGAGACACTACATAGTAATTACTGATTCAAGTGTTGACAGGACACTCTTAACTCATTGGTACAAAGGATCAACAGTATGCATGGACGATGAACAAGAACAATGGTTTTGCCCGTTCCTCTAGCTAAAGCACCATCTCTACCTGAACCCGACATGCATGTTGATCCGCAATTCAACAGCCCCAGAGCGTGGGAAACTACGGTTTTGTTTCCTTCCATTCCCTATCTAGAAAAGGGCATTGGAAAAGGAAACCACATAGCAGAGCGGGAAAAGAAGCCTAGTTGAGAAAACCTAGAGTTGATAAGAAGCTATTAAGAGTCTTAACTCTTAAAAGTTACAATGGAAGAGGGAATCCACGTAGGTACGTTGAATCCACGCCAGACTCTCGCACCAATGCTACTCTCCCGGTCCGTGCCACCTTCAAGAAAGATGGAAACAAGATAAACTGTTACGGCCAATAATTTTATGAACGAAATTGAATTCTGGCAAGCAGTTAGACTCTATTACTACTGGCTTCAAATCCGAAACAATTGCAGAGTTGACCACCCTCAATGATAGAAGTCATCTTTGCTCAAAACATTTCTTAGACACCTTAGTTGTTACCACGTTGAATTAATGGTAACTTAAAATCCACAGATCGAAAACATTTAGTGTATACAATTATGAAGAGGCCATATGGAACTCTACCATATTGATCATGAAAAAAAATCTGAGTTTCAGTGACTTGTGAAATTAACCAAGTCCTGCACCGTTCAGGCAAAAACATTTAAAGCTAAGAATAAGAAGACGGACCTCACAAATCCCATATGGCTCCAATATTCTCTGCAGTGCAACCATCTTATTAAAATCACCTGTAAGCTGCAACAGATTCAAATGGCTAGAGCATTAGTAACATGAAGGACAAATAACATGAGATGGAGAAAACCCATTATGAGAGGGTAACACTGTCATAGAAATAAATGTGGAGCTCCTGAATAGCGTGCAATTACCAGCATCCTAGTGCAACACTCTAACTTGATTTTAATGCAAAAAGAAATGATCTCTCAGTTTCTAGATTATTTTTTTGCAAAGTGCAAGTAACCATAGTAATGTGGCATATCAAGTTGATAGTTGATTGATTTTAGCAGATTGTTCAAGTAATCTTGGCACCCCCAGTTCACGCTCCTTCAGATCTCTTTAGCTATAACTACAAAGGTTGAAATGAATAGCCAGCTAAGTAAAACTCTAAATAAACAGCATTGAAGATTTGATTTAGGGGATTGCAGTGCTGCAGGGAGATCTTTTTCAATGTTCAAAAACTCAATAACAATATTGTGCAAAAACTTCCCAGATAGTCAAATCCAGGAAGCCAAGAACGACAGTCTTTTTTAATGTTCCCGAGATCTTACATTTTGTTTATGGCAAGGAACCCTGACCCAGCAATTCTGACAAGGAGCAGGTAAACCCTACATAACTATTTAGCCAGCTCAGCCTCCGTACCCCGAACCACAAGGTAGTCTAAGTCTCCATGGAAATAAGTAGATTTTCAAAAAGAAAAAAAAAATTCTCATGCAAAGGTACCTCAATTTGCTAAAATACTAGAATGAAGTAAAATGGTATGTGAGGGTGCTATACTCTGACACGTGCAAGTTAAGATCATTACCTAAACCCCAAACACAAGTCCAGTTAAATTCCACTACCTTCATCAAAAGACCTTAAGTGACCAACCAACTGATATTTCAGTTTGCCCGCCAAACCATGCCTAAAATATGTTTGTCAAACATTCCACACAAAAACCAAATGTAAAAATAAATTCGAGATGCTCTGAAGGTACTTGTGATCCACATCAACCTGGATTGATGCAGACTCTACTTGTGTATATAATTTTTTAAAACTAGACAACAGGTAGGAGCTGCCAAATCCTATCCTGATATGGCTAATGATCGTTACAGTAAGTTCAAAATTTTTCTTGAAGAAAGACAGCACCACTGCAATACCTCAATGGGAAGAAATTACCTCGAGAGTAATTGTGTGATCAGAGACATCAACAGCTTTGGCCCGAAATATTCTAGCAATATCAAGGACATCCCTCCTAGCAGCACTATTTGCAGCTATCTTAATCAGCATTAATTCTCGTTCTGCAAATGGTGAGTGAGTGATATCCCGAACCTGAACAAATCACCACCTTCTTTGTCATCCATTTCGTCATTTAGACAGAATTCATTCAAAAGATAACAAAAACTATTGCAAGAACAGATCATTACTTCAAAGTTTGACAATCAGAAAAGGTCATTGTTCAACAATGTAAGGATTTTTTTACTGAATCTGGAAAGGATAAGAAAAAACAGATTTTCTATTGGGCTCCTAATTGTTTACTAAATTTAGCAAATGTCTCTATGGAGGTGAGAGGAAAATTATGTTCTGGCGAAATAACTACACTAACAGTGTGTTAACAGCATATAAAACTTTGTTCTTCAAGATTATGAAATTCTTTAAAAAAAGATTTATTAAAGTGAACTAATTTTTTTAACAAAAACAAGATTCTTCCTGACACCATCGCATCCTTTTAGATATATGATACAGCTACTTTAGACACTAAATCTAGTTATTTAAGTCAAGATGTATAACCTAATACTGTTTCATATATAAGAGTGAAATGCATCTGGCTCCCATGTTCTACCAAACACGTTCTGCAGAAAATACTTGTTGCCAAGTAACATAATAGCACTTCCAACTTCCATGTGATTTCAAGGCCACTCAGTGTTCATTTTCATTTCTTTACCATTTTACGGAGACCATGTAGTTGCT